ATTCCCTGTGTTTCCAGCTCTTATCTGTACATGCTCTGGGCTATGACAGCTCGTCACATCTGGCTACCGTGGAGAAATACGAGCCCCAAGTGCGTGATGGGCCCAGCCACAAGCCACCCCCCCCCAACCGCCACCTTCCCCTTCCCCTCCTGGTATCCCTACTCTCATTATTGGTCCTGAGGAGCATGCTACATTTTAGCAACTACACTTGCCATAATTGATGTTAGGAAGCTCTCCGTCTGATGGCAAGGCTACTCCCATCCTTGGACCATGATCAGAGGGGTTCACCAGATGTTAAATCCACATAGGGACCCTGCAATTGGATTTTGGCTTTCATTGTCATCCTTAGCTTTCTGCAAACCAGGTGCTCACAATTTAAGCTCTGATACCATTCCCTCCATCAGATTTGAATTTTATTGTCTACACAAGCTAAGAAGCACATGTGTGTCTTTCATGTGCACTTTATTGACGCCTCACTTAGATGGCAGCTTGTTTGAAGACAAGCCTTTAAGACCCTAGATGCTATTTTTTTGGGTAACTGGGCACCATTTGCTTTCCTCAGCACACTTTTCTATAGCACCCATATCTTTTCAGTGATCTTTTTGTGAGGGCAAGCATAGAGCAGGGACTTGTCATAAGAACTTATTGTTCTTAGACTGGGGCTAAAATTAAGTGAGAGTCCCAAATCCATTCCTATAGGTATGGTTTATATCTGTTTCTAGTTCACCTTAGAGACATCATTGTCATTTTATGTTAGAGAACATTGTCAATCTTTTCTCCTGGGGCATAAGCTAATTCTATTGTTAGTGTAATACATTTAGATAATGGTATGCAATTTAGAACACTGTTGAGTAAAGGAAATTATACAAGTACTGGCTGGCTATGAACTGCAATATATGAATTGTTGACTTGTATAGATTTAACTCTTAAGTGACTAGACACTATTTACACAAGCAATGGGGGTTGGTGATTAAACTTTCAATAATATTCCTTCACAACATCAGGACAATGCCTACCAGATTAATACATAATAAAGCCAGGAGGGCATTAAAATAGTAAGTAAGTATATGGTAGTCCTGGGCCACCATTCAATAGACACTCACAAGGCAAGTGATCTGAACCAAAGTGCAATGACCCTCAATTCTATACCCTTAGGATAATAGACACCTGCTTGATCTCACACTAGAACGTTTCTAGGAGCACTTGGACTGTACTTCTTCTAAGACAGATTTGTTTATTCTTTTGGCAGTCCAAGGTACTTTCAATAGTCTTTGTTGGCACCATAAGTCAAATGCATTGATACTTCTCTGTCTTCCTATTCAATGCCCAACTTTGATATGCGTGTGAGGCAATTGAAACTATCATAGCTTTGGTCAGGCGCACCTTAGTCCTCAAAATGACATCCTTGCTCTTCAGCACTTTGACGTGGTCTTGTGCAGCAGATTTATCCAATGCAATTCAACGTTTGACTTCTTGCCTGCTGCTTCCAGGTGTTGTCTATCCAAGAAGATAAAATTCTTGACGATGTCGATCTTTTCTCCATTGATTGAGATATTGCCTAGTGATCCAGTTATGTGGATTTTTGTGTTCTTTATATTGAGTTATAATCCACATTGAAGGCTACAATCTTTTATCTTTATCAGTAAAGATAAAAGCATCTTCAGCAACTAAGATTGTGTCTATGGCATGTTACAGGTTATTAATAAGTCTTCCTATGATCCTGAAGCCATGTTCCTCTACCTCTTGTACAGCTTCTCAGATTACTTGTTCAGCATACAGACTGCATACATAGGATGAGAAGGTACACCCAGACATATACCTTTCCTGCTTTTAAACTATTCAGGATTCCCTTGCTCTGTTTGAATGACTGCCTCTTGATCCATGTCCATGTTTTCCACAAGCACGATGAACTGTTCTGGGATTTCTGTTCTTCTCAAGGATATCCATACTTTGTTATGGTCCACAAAGTTGAATGCCTTGGCATACTCAATAAAACACAAGTGAACATCTTTCTAGTATTCTCTTCTTTCATCTGAGATCCATCTGATGTCAACGATGATATACCTTGTTGTATGCTTTCTTCTGAATCCCGCTTCAATTCCTGGAAACTCCCTATTGATGTACTGTTGCAACCATTATTGAATGATCTTCATCAAAATTTTACTTGTATGTGATATTACTGATACTGTTCTATAATTTGTATATTCTGTTGGGTCGCCTTTCTTTAGAATTGATACAAATATGGATCTTTTCCAGTCGGTTGATTAAATCATTCTATGAGGGTAGAATTATTCCAGTGCCCCAAACAGACAAATATATTACTAATAAAGAACAATTAAAAACCAATGTCTTCACATGAACCTAGAAGTAAAAATCTTCTCTTTCAATTTTTTGGGGCATAGGTGAGTGAGTGCTTCCAGTGCTTCATCAGCTTGTTGAAACAGTTCAATTGGTTTTCCACCGATTCCTGAAGCCTTGTTTTTCAATAATGCCTCCAGTGCATCTTGGACCTCTTCCTCCAGTACCATCAGTTCTTGATCATATGCTACTTTAAAAAAAATGGTTGAATGTTGAGTACTTCTTTTTGGTATAATGACTATATATTTCTTCCATCTTCTTTTGATGTTTCTTGCATTAGTGAATATTTTATCCATAGAATCTTTTAATATGGTTAAAATATTACCATTAAAAGAAGTGCAGCATCTCTAAATGCTCAATTAGCATCAACTGATTTTTCATCTTTATGAACAAAGTGGATACAATATCTATGACTCTGAGAATGACTCCAGAAAGGGGGCTGAGAGGGAGGACTACACACCTGGATTGCCAGGTGTGCAAGGGGCTAAATCTAATGTTAAATAAAATGAGGTTGTAAACTAAGGGGTGAGAGCAATCGGGGCCTGGGAGGTGGGAAGCAGCTGGACTTTTTAAGGGAAAGCTAACTTATTATGGGCTTGGGCCAAGAGTTAGGTTGAAGATGGAGATTTAGCACAGAAATGGTTGTCAAGTTTACTAACCACCATTCTAATCCTTTTGAGAAAATGATGAATAATTTGGTTGAAAGGACATATGTCTAAAGATTGTGAACTCAGCTCTAAGACCTGTCTTGTGGAGTAGAGAGAAGGATACAATATAAAATCACATGCTTCTTTTAGTGGCTTCCAGGAGTGGGAGGGAGGGGGAGAGGGAGTGTTAGCTTAGGTGCCATGGAGTTTTTGTGAATGATGATGAGATAATTTGGGAAAAACTAGTGAGAATGATTGTACCATGTACAAAGGGCCACCAATGTCACGGAATTACATATGTAGACACTGTCGAATTAGCATATCCGGTTTTGTGTTTATTTTTAGTACAATAAAAACAAAACAAGACTCCATGCTTCTGAAACACTTTATGAAGAGGGTAAGATTCTGGAAAGCACTGACAGTTTTGGAAATCCAGAAACATTCGAAAATTGAAAATCAAAATGTTCCTCAATATAAGCAACTGAAGAAAAAATAGAAAACGCGCATCTAGTTAGCACCACTGTATGGAATCATGCCTGAAAACATATAGGTCATGCCTCCTCGTAACATATTGATCATGAAGGGGAGTGTGATAATCTAAGTAGTGTTGGATGAGATGCCAACGGCAAGAAGGGATCTCCGTTTCTTGGACATTTAAGACGTTTTGCACTATGACGACCCCTGGTGTCTTGGGAAGAAGGATGTGATCACATTGAGACAACAATGGGGTTCTCAGATTCATTATAGCCATCAAGGCAGAGCAGATGATTCTTTGCACCTGCAAAAATAAATGTTTGCCAGAAATCCAATGGGCAACAGTCTTCATGGGGAAAATAGCACCATTTCTAGATTGTTTTGTTTTGCCCCTGCAAATTCAAGGGCTGGCTGCAGGCGTCGCTGATGGCATAGACTGTTGGCTTCTGGCTGAGAGGCTCAAGGAGATGAAGAAGCAGGATAAAGAAGACAAAGCATACACAGGATGGTGCTTGCAATGAGTGAAGACAATTCAGAACAGGTAACTGTGCAATTAGCCTACGGAATAACAACTTATTACAAATACTCTAGAGCCCCCCGAATGATAATTAATCTGATTATTGACACCTGGAAAATGTACACAAAATGACTTTAACTGCAAAGTGAACTTAGAGTATCATGGAGAAGTTGGTTACAAATGTGTGAAATGCAAGCATACTTTGACAAAATTAGAGGTTAACTTGGTATGCAGGAAAAGTATAGTTTGTATTCTGTACAAATATGTGTAGTAAAATGTGTATAGTTGACTGTGTTGGCTTTTTTCTTTGTACAGAGTAGCTGGAATTTGTTCAGAAAAAGAAAAAGAATGACATACTCCTTTGGGTCAATATACAAAGTGATACTTCTGCTTCATTTAATAATAATTTGGTCTGGGAGGGTGGAGGGAGGGTGGGGTGGAAAGGGGGAACCGATTACAAGGATCTACATGTGACCTCCTCCCTGGGGGACGGACAACAGAAAAGTGGGTGAAGGGAGAACATCGGATAGATATGACAAAATAATTTATAAATTATCAAGGGTTCATGGGGTCGGGGAGTGGGGAGGGAGGGGAAAAATGAGGAGCTGATGCCAGGGGCTTAAGTGGAGAGCAAATGCTTTGAGAATGATGAGGGCAATGAATGTACAAATGCGCTTTACTCAATTGATGTCTGGATGGATTGTGATGAGTTGCATGAGCCCCTCATAAAACGATTAAAAACGTGAAAAAACATTAATTTGGTAACCAAATGGCACGCAGCAGTAGCTCTGCCCCACAAAGGGTAACAGGGTGCAAGTGAAGACAAACCCTCTATCTCTAGGAGTAGGTTTTGAAATAGAAAAAAAAGGCGTGTGTGGTTATTAAAAGTTTACTCACCTATTGGAACCTTGAGACAAAAGCCAAAGGGGACCTAAATGTTCAGGCAAAAAAAGGTACTGGGTGCTCTGCTGCATCACAGGCTGTTAACGGATCAAAGTAGACGCTTACTAGAACACTCAAACGCTATGAACAGAAACGGAGAACTTTTGAGACCAGTTGTTGCTACCGGCCTCTACAATGATCACAGACGTGCCACAGAAACGTCACACCAGTCTAAGGGATGGGCTACTCCTTCCAGAAAAGGTGGCCCAACAAACAAACACCTTAAACAAAAATAGAAGACAAGCAGGGAAAAGAAACTTGCGACTTATGTAAGAAAGGGTGCTATTATGAACACATGAGGGACTCATAAATAAGAAAGAATAACCTCGGTGCACATAAAAAGGCAAAAAGGCCTTCATCAAAAAAGGGCAAATAACTAGAGTTTTCACTATCACAGTAGCCAAGGAGTGAAAATTGAATTAATGAGGTGACCATGTTTTAATAGCAATAGGAAAAATAAAAACAAACAAAAACTAGTAGTCTGTGTTGACCAGATATTTCAATACACACTTCTTTTTATTTTTAAATTAATTTTGTTGACAAAATACACAGCAACACATACACAAATCCAACAGTTTCTCCACGTACCATTTAATGACAACGTGTACCACTTAATGATAACATACACCACTTAATGACAGCATGTACCATTTAATGACAGCATGTACCATTTAATGATACTGATTACATTCTTCAAGTTATACCATCATTTTCATCCTCCTTTTCTGGGTTCTTCCTTCCCCCTTAATAAACCCACTGTCCCCTAAGTGTTTGCTTTAATCTTTTAAGTTGTTGTTATCAATTGAATCCTACTATTCTTAAAAGAGCATGATGTTCAAGGCAGCTAGTTTTACTTAAACCAGTTAAGTTAAACTACTGTTTAGTTTTAAGATGACATCAGAGGATATATATATATATATGAATAAGCAGGGTTTTTTATTGAAAGTTTAATGGGAAGCTAAAAGTCTCATCAGAGCAACGTTATAATTTTATTTCGAAGTTTTTATTGTGAAATGCATGAAGGCGTACAGAGTAGATCATTAGTTTTACTTTCAACAATTCATACAGATTTTGCTCCATCTCATTTATTCCGGTAACATTCAATGAAACACCACTCATCCCACCTTCTTTCTCCATGTTTCCCAGTTTTATTGTGCCTTCTCCCCTAGCCCTTCTGGACTTTTTCCTGGGCAAATGCTGCCCCTTGACCTCAAAGGGTTGAACATTCTAAGGTCTGCATACCTCACTAGTGTTACTGTTCTTACAGATCTATTGTTTGACTGAAAAATCTAGCCATGGGCGTGAGTTCAGGTCCAGATCTGAGGGTGACAAAGGGCCATATTCTTGAGGGGTTCTACCAGTTTCTAACCAGTAACCTTGATCTCTTTTATGATTTTGAGTTTTGTTTCACCCTTACACTACTCTATTTGGAACTTTCTAATGTGATCCCTTTCAGAGTACCTGATAGTGGTAGCTGGGTGCCATCCAGTTCGTCTGGTCTCAGGATCATGGAGACTGATGTGGCACATTAATTAATTGGAATAACTGTTTCCATACGTCATTACTTTTTTGCCACTCTTCTTTGATCCAGACAGTGAGCTGTCAAGATTTGCAACTCAGAGGGCCACTTGCAAACTTTTAAAACCCCAGTCACTACTCATCAAAGCAGGCTGTAGAACTCTTGTCTTCGTGGACTATGTTATTGACAACTGACTTTGATGTCCCCCAAGACCAGAGTCTTGAGCCCCAGGAATAATTCCCTTTAGGTATTTGGGTATGTCTTAGAGGTTTTGCTCCCTGTCTGATCCTTCACAAAGAATGAAGCACTGCCTGGTCCAGCCCCTTCCTCACAAATATTCTTATGGTTCAGCTTCTTATTTCATGTACACATATCCTCGGTCAAACCTCTCTCTCTGTATCTGTAGGTACATTCACCCCAATCCCCTCAATATGACATCACTCTCCCTACTCCTCCCCCCCCACCGTGTTTCCACTATTCCTCTCATATTTGTGTCTAGTCAAGTTCTTGTAGGAATGTGTATGTAATAGTATTTACCTCCGTGATCTAAAATGTTTTCACTCCTAGTGTCTTCCCCTGCCTCCGTCATTTTTGCCAACTTCCCTCTTGTAGAAATTGCTTTCTCTCAGGAAATAGTTTAAGATGATCTAAGGGCAATAGTTCCAGGGGAATCATCTAACTTTCAAGACTCTAGGAAGTCTGGAGTCCATGAGCATTTGAAACTCTGTTCTTCATTTCCCCCCTTTGATGGGGATTCTCTTATGGAGTTTTTGATTAAACTGTTCAGTCTGATGGGTAGGCACCATTCAGTTCTGGCCTCAATGCAAAGGCCACACTGGGTGCACTCTTGACCTGCTCTTACATTGATGGATTTTCTAGATGACAATTTAGCGATCTCTATTAAAACATTAAAATACAATGCTCTATAATTACGTTTCCATCTGATAAGTCTGCAAAAAAATCTTGGATGTTTGATGCAGCACTACTTATAATAGGAAAACACTGAAAATCATCTATAGGACCAATAATGGGGGTTAACTAAGTGATGGTTTGTTTACTCAGTGACATATAATAATATTTGTCTGTATTTGTAAATGTGAATTATGGTGCTGTGAACAATTAATGAACTGCCAGAAGGGTGAAAACCCTTTGTGAGAATAAGTACAATTAGAATGCTCTTTAGAAACAGGGATGACTGAACTTCAACTCACCTATTTGGCCATGTTATCAGGAGAGACCGGTGCCTGTAAAAGTACTCATGCTTGGTAAAGTGGAGGATCAACCTCAAGGGAACATCCTCAGAGAGAGGCTCGGCACCGTGATTGTAACAATGGGCTCCTGTGTGAGGCTCCTATGTTAATGACGGTGGACTGGGCAACGTTTCTTTTTGCTGTGCATAGGGTCGTTATAAGTCAAAACCTAATTGATCGTACCTAACAACAACAACATATATGATATATTGCTAAAAAAAATACAGAAAACAACAATTGTATATTGTGATTTCTTCTTTGTTTCATGTGTATACATATGTCCATATGTATAAATGCTTGAAAGGCCACATATGAAAATGTAAAATTCACTACCTGTGGATAGTGGGTTAAGGATCCCTTGGGTGTAGTTGGTTACACATTGGGCTGCTAACTGCAGGGTCAGCAGTTCAAGTCCAGTAGTCACACTGCTAAAGAAAAGTGAGGTCTTCTGCTCCTAAAAAGATGTAGTGCCTCAGAAGCCCCACAGGGCTGTTCTACTCTGTTGTTTAGGTTCCCCATTTGCCAGAACCAACCTAATAAGAGTGAGCGTGGTTATTTTGAGTTTGAGTAGTAGGACTCATTTTCTATTCTTTATATTTTCTGCATATTTTCATTTTTTATTAATAAACAAGCAGTTTTATTTACACAAGAAAATATTTAAAAAACTAAAGTATATCAAACTTATAAGACAAATACAGGCTGTTCTTTGATGTACAAAGGAGTCAAAAACCAGTCTGTTTTTCTGACTATGATGGTGCTAGCTACTTGATGGAGCAACAAAGGAAAGTAGCAGTGTTTTTGAGGATCTAGTTCACATAAAGCAGCTTGCTAAATGCCTTCACATCTGGCATATCATTTAATCCTTATAACCATCCTGTGAAAGGCTTCGTTATCTGCATTTCACAGATGAGGAAAGAGAGGCCTGGTAAAGAGTTACAATCAATGGTGGAGCTGGGGTTTAGCCTCAGGTCTTATCTGATCCCTCAGTCTAGGGTCCTTATACTGAATGATTCTCAATCACCTACTAACAACAAACAGACACGTCTCTTTAGTTCAATTATAAGAGAATGGAGAAAGTAGATTTGAATGTAAACGTTTATCTGCCAACAACATTTGAGGGAGCACAATGTGCAAGAAAAAATTTTTTTTCCCCTAAATATCTAAGGTGTCAGATACACAACTGTTTCTAGAAAAGAGATGTTAAGATTAAAAGAACACCAACGTTTAGTACGTTATGTAGGATATGCTTTATCCAAGCTTGGCTCTTTATAAGGCATAAAAACATCCACTTACCTCTCTTTCTTGGTATCTTTGTGGTCCAACATTGGGAATTCCACCTGGATCATCTCTGGAGTCAACATGATTTCTATATCCTGTTCACAGAGCTCACTGAAAAGGAATAAGGTATTTCACTTGAATGTTTTTGAATTTCTAAACTAAAAATAGAAATATTGTGATCATTTAAAAGTTACGCAACTGTTATGACTTTCAACTGTTGTTCCATCTACTTTTGTTGAGTCTGTAAGTAAAAAGAAGCAGAAGGCTCCCTTCCACTAACAAACTATTTATTTATTTTTGAGTAGGAATAACTATTTACAGCAGAGAATAAAGGGCGTTTTAAAATCAGGTCTGTATAATTTGCATTCTTTTCGAGTGCACAGGGAACATTTACTAAGATCAACCAGTTCTGGAACCATAAAGAAAACCTATGTGATTTTTAAAAGCTAGAAATGAGTCACACTATGTCCTCTGGTCACAATGAAATTAGAATAGAAATCAATAGCAAAAAAGGTAACTAGAAAATCCACTTTTTCCAGATTAAGCCATATACTTCCAAATACTCCAGTTGTCTGTCAGTTTGTCATACTGTTTGCCAGGAGAGGTAAAATATAAACTTGTGTACATCCCACCTGAATTCAGAGATCAGTTCTAGAACAGAATTTATACATTGAACACTAATGACCAAAAGCCCGATGAGCGGTGGGAGGACATCAAGAACACCACACATGAGGAAAGCAAAAGGTCATTAAAAAGACAGGAGATAAAGAAAAGATTAACTTCTGGAAAACACAGTCAATGAAAACACTATGCAGCACAGTTCAACTCTGACACAAACAGCGTCACCATGAGTTGGAATCAATTCAAGAGCAACTGTATTTTGCTTTTAAACATACGGAGCTTGTAATTTCCCCCTTGAAATCATGTGGTGATAGAATAGTGAAAATATATTTTTGATAAGAGAAGGCAGGGACTTGGATTTAGAGATATTTCCAAGTGGGGCCGTAGGGAGTGAGTCAGCTGGACCCAGGATGCATGTGGTGTCTAGAGGATGCAAGCTTAGGGATTCTCGAAGGAGAGGCTGTTCCTGGACAAAGTGCGCACCCTGTGTGGTTCACGTATGCTGTTCCTAGTCTGTTGTTCGATCTCTGGCTCTTAAATCCTCTTAGACTGGGCTGGTTTAAGTGGGAGTGGGAGTAAAGAGCATATTTCCAGTGGCTGCCTCTCTACATATTTTAGAATTTAGGGTTTCCCTATTCCCAACCATATTAAGGAGACTACTCTACCTAGCGAGCAGTGTGGAGTCCCTGGGTAGCGCAAATTGTGAATACTCTTGGCTGCTAACTGAAGCACTAGTCGTTTGAGCCCACCCAGGTATTCCTTGGCAGGAAGGCTGACTTACAAACATGTTGTCGTTGAAAACTCTATGAAGCTTAGTGTAACCCACACGAGGTCATCATGAATTGTAGCCCACTGATGACAACAGGGGCAGGTTAGTTAGCAGTGTGGCTGACTGTTAGTCTTATATTTTCAGGTGGGTGTTAGACGCAGGCACTGCGTGCTCCTTTGAAATCCCTCATAGCACCTTCCGGCACTTTCCTTCAGGGAAACAAGCCGCAGAGACCGAAGGTTAAAAAAAAGTACCGTTCAACGATTTCTAGTCGGTCTTCCTCTGGCAAGTCTCGAACAATGGCAGGGACCTCGATGGGGAGCATAGCCGTGTTGAAAGGATCACAGCTGTGGAAAAATCATGCAAGAAACCAAAGATAAATCACTTAGCAAAACATTTTTGTTTCAATGCTTGGTGAGGCCTAACCTCCTTCCTGAAAACCCATTCATGTTTCCTAGAGGCAAAGACAGTATGTTGCCAAATGCATTTTCCAGAGTTTACAAACATAGACTCATAGGATTTTTGAGTTTGTCGGGTCTGGAATGACATAATTATTGGGAGGTACGGGTAGTAGGATAGTTTACCTCTTGTTCTTAGCCCCCACCCCCTTCCACCACTTTTGTGGCCTTCCTTGGTTGGTCAAGTCCATTCACACCTTCCTTACCCAGCCTTATGAATTGTTTGGTACTGTAAGTTTAGAGCTTCATACATAAAATCCCTGGGTACTGAGGATATTGAAATAACGTCGATATCAAAAGTGTATATTGTTATTTTCAAAGCCGGCAGAAGACTGCTGTATCAAGATGGCAGAATAAGCACTTTATGCTTCAACTTTTTCCTTATGAGCTTTCAAATGGTATTAAAGGGAAAAAAGAACACACATGTGGTGGACAGGAATCGGAGTGAACATGGTGTCAATCGTATATATATGAGGGGGTACCCAAAAAAGCCTGCATTTTTTTCCTTAAAGCTGTTTAAAAAATTTTTTATAAAACAATCTTATCACCTTCAAAGTACTCTCCATTACACTTAATACCGTGTTTCCCCAAAAGTAAGACATCCCCCGAAAATAAACCTACTTACAGTTTTGCCTCTCGATGAAATATAAGGAATCCCCCGAAAATAAGACCTCCCAGAACATAAGGCCTCCCCGATAATAAGGCCCCCTGAAGCTACTGTAACGCTGGACTCTGGACTGTAGCGGCAGGCGCCGCTGTGCAGCTCACTGTTGACCACAGTGCAGCCGGAACAGACAGGAAGTACGAGTAAATGTACCATAGATAGTTGTACATGGAAATAATGGTAGTAACAAGAAATTCTTGATACTGTAGGATTCAGTTTGTCTGGTTATGCTGGTTTGTGATGACAACTGCTACCATACCATATACAGGTAATAAATTTCCTTTTTTTAGGTTCAACAATAAATGTGTACTGTATTCTTCTTCATGGAAAAATAAGATATCCCCTGAAAATAAGACCTAGTGCAACTTTGGGAGCAAAAATTAATATAAGACACTGTCTTATTTTCGGGGAAACAGGGTACATTTTCAAATCTGTGATTCCATTCTTGGAAACAGTTTTCAAGTTCATCTGTTTGGATGGCTGACAGAACCTCCCTCATTTTCTTCTTTGCCTCTTCTACATCTCAAATCGCTTTCCTTTCATGTCCCTCTTCATTCGCAAAAACAAAAATAAGTTGCATGGAGTGAGGTCAGGTTAGTAAGGTGTGTGGGGCCAGAGAGGCATGCTGTTTTTTTGCCCCAAACTGGCACATTGAGATGGCTATGTGAGCAGGTGCATTGTTGTGGTGGCAAAACCAGCCCCCGTCTGCCACAAATCAGGCCTTTTCAGTGGTACAATGTTACACTATCTTTTTAGAACCTCTAAATAGAAAGCTTGATTAACAGTCTGACTGGTGGAACGAACTCCAAATGCACTCGTTGACATTTTCGACCATTCAGGAAGTTGATGGATGTTCAGAAAGAGACTTGCCATCAATCGACATTTCACCTCTTTTGAAACAAGGAAACCACTCGTACACGTGAGTTGTTCCCATAGCTCTGTCCTTGTGAGCTGTGTTCAACATCACAGCAGTTTCTGGGGCATTTTTCCTGAGCAGGACACAAAATTTCACAGCTGCACGCGGTTCTCTTAAACCAACCATCACAACAAATGAGGTTTGAGCGAAACTACTTTTACGAAAAAATTCAGTGTGACCAGAGAGGACCTTCCCAGGATGTGCCACTGGGGGATTTCACTCAGAGTGTGTTTTCTCATGCTCATTTGGCAGGAAAAATGGGTACCACAAAAAACCCACAACCTTCCTCTAGTTCTTAAACGCTTCCTCCCCCCAACTACCATGACCCCAATTCTGCCTTGCAAACCTGGTGAGACAAGAGGGTGCACAGTGGTACAGATGGGAATTGGAAATACAGGGAATCAAGGACAGATGAACCCCTTAGGACCAGGGGTGACAGTGGCGATACCAGGAGGGAAGGGGGGGGCATAGAAAGGGGGAATTGATCACAGGGATCTACATATAACCTCCTCCCTGGGGGACGGGCAGCAGAGGGGTGGGTGAAGGGAGACGCCGGGCAGTGTAAGATAAGATATAATAATAATTTATAAATTATTAAGGGTTCATGGGGGAGGGGGGAGTGGGAAGGGAGGGGGAGGGGAAAAAAGGAAAATGAGCTGATTCCGGGAACCCAAGAGGAAAGCGAATTTTGGGAATGATGAGGGCAACAAATGTATAGGTGTGCTTTACACAATTGATCTATGTATTGTGATGAATTGTATGAGCCCCAATAAAATGATTTTAAAAAAAAAGCTTCGAGGAGTTTTTTATGTTTTGGGGTTTTTTTTTGGAGGGTGGTACCCCCTAGTATGTATATATTTAAGGGCCCTGGTGGTGTAGTGGTGACGTGTTGGGCTGTGATCTACATGGTTGGCAGTTTGAAACCACTGGCAGCTCCGAGGGGGAAAGACGGGGCTTTCTACTCCCGTCCACAGTTACGTCTGGAAACCCACAGGGGCCACTATGAATCAGCACTGACTGTATGACAGTGCGTCTGGTTTTAGAGTAATATATCATCATATAATTCTTATGAAGGATTAATGTAAAGGTGTAGAAATTGATTCATGTGTATTTAATGAAAATACTAGAAAAAGATAAGTGAATATATTCTATCGCCCCATTGGATTAGAATTGGCAAGAAGAAGGGAATGGTATTGAGTGCTTTCCTTTTTTCTAATGTATGTGGTTAATATGTCAAGTTTCTTTCCTTTCTAATATGTAGGATTTTTATAAACATTAAAAGGAGAAAAATGAACCTATACCCTACACTGTAGCTTTGTGTGAACTGAAATTACTGTCTTTGAGATACTGTGGCATTGTACTTCAATGTGATTGTTTGTGTAGTGTTTGTAGGCACCCATCACCTGTCTGCTGGTGGTGTGTTAGAGAATGTGAGTGTGTGCTGTCATTCTGTTTGCTGTTTCTGTAGCACCACTGAGAGCAGCCTTGGCTGGTGTTGGCTGCTGTTTATTAATAATACAGGAGTGTGTTGTGGTCTTTGTCCAGATGATGGAGTTTCAAGAGGTATGGTTGTCACTGAGCTGTGTGGACAGAGATGCTGTTTCCTTTCAAGTAGGACAAGAGAGAACAAAATCCAAACCCAAACCCAAACTAAAGAACAGCCCCAAAGAAAATAATAAATGGAAAAACAAGCCATGAAAATCACACAAAGAACAGCAATAAAAATCATTTAATTAAAAAAAAATCATTTAATAACTAAAAAGAAAAAAGAAAGGCAAATACAAGCAGGGTAAGAGAAAAATAAAAGAAAAGGAACGAAAACTACAAGAAGCTGACCCCAATCCCAATTCTGTGGACAGCCTTCGCTCCCGGCAGAAGAATTCACTTCAGAGGATAGCACTGAAACTACAGCTCAGGAAGAGGGACATGTCTGATCAGAGCCCACAGGAGCAAATGAAGGGGGAGGAAGAGAGAGTGGAGCACATTCTGGTCCACCAAGCCCTGAGGATGAGATTCCCGCTCAGAGCAGCCAATGCATAGAGAGGATCAGAGGGCCACACCCACTATGAGACACGACATCCCTCACTGACCCATCGCCCTACTGGGGACAAGACTGGAGACACAGTGCAGGAATTGTGCCCCATCTGGCCCCCACCATGCTGAGACAAAACACTAAGCGTGTGCAACAGAATGGCAAGCAGAATAGAGCAATGAAATCCCCAGGGAATACCAAAAACAGACTGTGGGGCTGGGGCATGGCACCCCCATCAGACTCGATCTGAAAACACTCCTAAAGATCAACAAAAAGACCTTGAACTATTTACAGGCTTTTCTTTCTTTTCTTTTTTTTTGGCATTGTGCTGTTTTTTTTCTTTTTTCTTTTGTTCCTTTGTTTTGCCCTGTCTTGTTTTTTTGTGTGCATAATATTATCTCTGCAGGTCTATCTAGATAAGACAGGCGGGATAAACAATCTGGAGGAGAAAACAACAGGACCAACCACCGTTCCAGGGGGACATGGGAGAAGGGGAGGCAGGGGAAAGGAAGTGGATGCTAACAAACCCAGGGACAAGGGAACAACAAGTGATCCAAAATCAATGGTGAGGAGGGTATAGGAGGCCTGGTAGGGCTTGATCAAGGGCAATGTAACCGAGAGGAATTACTGAACCCAAATGAAGGCTGAACATGATCGTGGGACAAGAGGAAAGTAAAAGGAAATAGAGGAAAGAACTAGGAGGCAAAGGGCATTTATAGAGGTCTAAATACAGGCACGCTCATATGTAAATATATTTATGTATGATAATGGGGAAATAGATCCATGTGCATCTATTTATAGGTTAAGTATTAAGATGGACATTGGGCTCCATTCAAGTACTCCCTCAATGCAAGAACACTTTGTTCTATTAACCTGGCATTCCATGATGCTCACCTTGCCAACAAAATCGCTGAAGACAAAGCAGGTGCATAAGCAGATGTGGTGAAGAAAACTGATGGTGCCCGGCTATCAAAAGATAGAGCGTCTGAGGTCTTAAAGGCTTGATGGTAAACAAGCGGCCATCTAGCCGAGAAGCAACAAAAGCCACATGGAAGAAGCACACCAGTGTGATCATGAGTTGTCGATAGGGTCAGGTATCAGGCATCAAAGAACAAAAAATTACATCATTGTGAATGAGGGGGAGTGCAGAGTGGGGACCCAAAGCCCATCTGTAGGCAACTGGACATCCCTTTACAGAAGGGTCGCGAGGAGGAGACGAGCCAGTCAGGGTGCAGAATAGGACTGATGAAACAAGCAGCTTTCCGCTACTTCTTGAATGCTTCTTCCACTCCAGTATCATGACTCCTTACAAATCCAGGTAGACCAGAGTGTGTACACAGGTACAGATAAGAGGTGGAAATACTGGGAATCCAGGACAGATTAACCCCCTCAGGACCAATAATGAGAGTAGTGAAACCAGGAGGGGAAGGTGAAGGTGGGGGAGAAAAGGGGAACCGATCACAATGATCTGCATGTAACCCCCTCACTGGGAGAGGGACAACAGAAAAGTGGGTGAAGGGAGACATCGGACAGTGTAAGACATGACAAAGTAATAATGATTTATAAATTATTAAGGGCTCATGAGGGAGGGAGGGTGGGGAGGGAGGGGAAAATGAAGAGCTGATACCAAGGGCTCAAGTAGAAAGAAAATGTTTTGAGAATGATGATGGCAACCAATGTACAAATGTGTCTGACACCATGGATGGATGGATGGATTGTGATAGGAGTTGTATGAGCCCCCAATAAAATGAATTAAAAAAAAGAAAGTAAACTACAATAATCTAGAGAGGGATAAAGAGAAAACAAAATTAAAAAATAATAAAAGAAAAAATCAAGGCAAGGGAAGGGAAAAGAAGAAAAGAAAGAACAAAGACAACAGAGAGAGAAAAGATAAAACAAAGGAAGGGGAAGGGAGCAAATAAAGGGAAGGAGAAGACGAGGCAAGTGCAGGACGCAGAGAGGCAAAACTGTGGAACGCAGGGGACTCGTATGGGTTGGCACCCTCTAGCAGACAAAGTGTTCATTGGGTGGGTTTTGAGGGGCGAGGGGTGGGAAGACTGGCCTTGGATACTGAGTTCCTCTTGGCCTAGCTGTTGTCTGAGATCAGGGACCTGATCCCAGAGGAGTTCATTCAGACAGATGGTGGCTGAGGGCAGGGTGCTTATTCTGGAAGGAATCCTTTCAGGCCCAGAGAGTAGTTGGGACAAAGCAGGTGGTTCTGGGAGGATTTCCTGTCTGGCACTGATCTCTCTGCTGTTCTGATGAGGTAGACCTTGAGCACCTTCAGGAATGGCGGTCATGCACCAAGACCTGACACATGGTGTCAAGACTGGAACCTCAGGAAGAGCAGGGGTTGGGTGGTGGTGGTGATAGCAGCCTACTGGGTGGGCAAGGATGCGGGCTGATCACACTTCTGATTACCAGGAGGGTGTGATGAACAAGGGAGGAGCCTACCTTTCTTGGTGCCAACCACTGGTGTGCATTTGTCATATCAGGACACTGTGTCGATTGCACGCAACTTGCAAAAATTCAAGATGGCCCTGCTGTGTCAGGCCAGCCAAAAATTCACCTGCCTGTCTTTTCTCTGGCCACTTTGGTTAAGCTTCTTTTCCTAGTTAGTACTCAATCCATTTCTGGATCCTTTCCTCCGAAGCTCCAGGTCCTAGGAGTATAATCCGTACATGTCTCACTTGCTGTCACATCGTTGTTGTAGAGGGGCTGTGTCGTGTGTATTTTTCTAGTCCACCATCTTGCTGGACGTCATCAAATCATGTCCTTTCAAAACATTCTTTGGGTTTGTGGTACAAAAAAGACATTGGAAGGGACAAATCACAGTGGTGGGGTGGAGGGGTTCATGTTTCCCAACCAACTGCGCTCAGGACAGCGCCTGCCATCCTTGAAGAACATGCAGGAGCACTGAAAACAGACAAACATTCCTAGGTGTAACTTTGCTGGCCTTTTCTCACTAATGTAGTTTTCAAATTTCTTAAAATGTCTTCTTAGAAAGCCTCTGTGATGGTTCTGAGACTTGTGGAAAAAATCTAATTATGATTACCCCTTTGGAATCCTTAAAAACTGTCACCCTAACCTTCTGTGCTGATCTCTCTGCCTGAACATCATTGGCTCTCATTGGCCACTGTTTCGATGGAACTTTTAAAAAAAATTTTTTTTGGAAGGCACCCTAATGAGACGAAGGCAAGCATAATACTGAGAGAACTTGTCTACAGCGATCCATTGATCACAGAGACATGTTCAGACATGTTTATTTGGCATCAACTTGTGCAGGCATGAACTGGGGCCATAGTAGCAATAATTTTTGCTTACCTTTATAAAAATGAAATCAACATTCTTTTGTAATTAAAAAAAAATAAAAATGATCTTGACTCTCATATCTGATGAAATCCCTGATAAGAAAGAATAAAGTCCTATTTTGGTTGTGTAATCTGTTAGAAAGCCATTACTAAGAAACAAATGGACCAACAGCATAATCAAGACGTAGAATCAAGAAGAAATAATTCATGTGCGATAGTCACCTAAACTGGTGTCAATTTAAGGATTAAGAGTATAGGGATGGAGTCTAGGCTGCCAATCTGGAGGTAGCCAATGAGACTTCTGTGTGAGCATGGCCTTCTCCTGAGAATTCTGGGAAATCTGGTAATTCCTTCTTGGGGGTGAGAGACATTATCTCTCTCAGTTCACTCCCTTGGAGACTCTCTACTGACAAGGCTGACTTCCTGCGAGGCATCCCTGAGGAGATGCCACATGGACCTACCCTGATGCAGCCCTGGGAACTGGAATGGCCATGTGGAGACTCCTGCCAGCGCTGAGATGCTTCTACTACCAAAGACTTTCTACCCACTGGCCTATGATCTTCTACATTCAGCATCATTGCATGTGTTTCGTGAGTCCAAAGAGGACTTTATAGATGGCTGTCGGACATATGAGCTAATATCAGACTTATGACCTTGGACTACACTGGGTTGGGATGTTCAATTCCTCTTGTATATAAATTTCTTTCTGATACACACATGTGTGTCCATGCATTTGTTTCTGTAGTCTACCCAGACTAACACATCGTGTTTAGAGAGTTTGCCTTAATTCAAATAGAATGTGTGTTGGAAGGATAGCCCCAGGAGATTTTTCTCAAAAACATTGCTTGAGAGGGGGCAAAGGAGATGTTTTCTAATTCTTGAGGTCTCTTTAGGGAGACGATGGGTGAACATGGGATGTCTCAACTTCTCACCATTTTCTCTCTAGTCATCCAATTGATTCTGACTCATAGCGACCCTACCAGACAGAACTGCCCCACAGGAAACTTGGGAATTTAGGGACTGGGTTTTCTAAGGCAAAGGATCCACCACGTTTTGGTGGCAGTAAGGGAGCAGAGTGTGTGCATGTGCGAGCGAGAGGTTCTGCGTGCTTCTCTTAGTTGCAGAGCTCAGATTGTCTGGCCACTCCTGAGGCCACGACAGGCCTCTGCTAGTTTAGGTGAGCCTTGTTATCAATTAGAGGAGTCGAACAAACAGCGTTTGGAGATATCAGCCATTATGTCCTCACCTACAATGCATTTAACTCTATTTAGCAGAACAGTGGGCTTAATAAGCACATTCCAGGGTGCAGGAGAGGGTTGTTGGTTAGACAGAAACCTCAAGAAAAGTCATCGCACTGCTTGTTTGGTATCACAGGGGTCTGAAGGAATATGAAGTAAGAAATTTTAAAAAGTGTGCTTATGCTGTATATTTCATTTTTTGGGCCCAACAAATGTCTCACCGTACATGTGGGTCGTGTTTGTAGCAGAGAGATGCTCCCCTGTGGTAAGAGCTTTGGGGACACACTGTTAATGGCAAGCCATGGTATGAGCGAATAGTGGCTGTTTTGGAATTAGATATTATGTGTAGATGACAAATCTGGGTCATCAGGTGGAAACAATGGAATTTTCGTATCTGATTATGAATATTGCCATTGACTTATGGATTGGCTATCTTATGGTATGGAAGAATGGCCAATTAGCTACTTGTGACCTTACTTTTTCAAAGTGCACCTCAATTAAGACCACTTCAAACTATGAAAATTAGTGATACGTTGTCCTATTTTTCTGATCAGCAATCATCCATCATGTATAATGCATGGACCTTGACATATTTTTGGCATTGAACTTCTCAGGACCACAGCCTGCTGGGTAGCATGCCCCTCCCTGTAAAACCCACAGATGAGCTAGCTTACCTCCGAGTTGCCTCTGTCTTCGAAGTGTCGGGCAGAGATGACAGGACCAGGGACTGGAACTTCTTCCAGTGCATTATGCCAGGAATAATATCCTGCAGTGCAAGCAGCACAGGGGACTGAGTAGAAGGGAACTCGCTAGTGAGGAGAAATCTAGCAAGAATTTCATTTTATTCAGCTACACTAGGTTTCAGTTTTAAAAGCTTAGCACAAAAATCTGTATTTTTTTCTAATTATACAAAGCAAGAACTTTAACTCCATTTTTAACATTGACCTACATTCAGCTTCCAGGTTAGGTTTCTCTGATGCTAACTCGGCTATTAAAAAGCTTTGCTCCTGACCGTGTACTTGAAAGTAGACGATGATTGCTCTAGTCAGCCCAGAAGGGGCTCTGGAGGAATTGTGGGTTAAGCCTTGGGATTCTAACCACCAGGTCCATGGCTCTAAGCACCAGCCGTTCCTCGGGACAATAACAATTCACTGTCTTACAAATCTAAAGACGCGGTTCTATGGTTTTGAGTAGACTCAATGACAGTGGGCTTGGGTTTGGATTTGGTTTAGCCAGCCAAGGGTGGGGCAGTCTTGTACCAAGAGGTCTTGCCCAGGGATGCTTTTAATAAAAACTGGGCTACCAGGGTGGCATGCTCAGGAGCTGTACTCCCACCAAGATGATTGGAGGGCTCTAGCATCATCCCTGCAAGCGCTTCTCTTTGGCAACGGTGTTCAGACCCCAGTCATGATTTCTCCCTCCTGTCTGCAACAGTGATGAACGGATCTGCTGCCAATGAATGCGGCCAGGGGGGGTGAGCTGTATAAGAGGCAGCCTTTTGGAATCCAGTGATGTTGAGATAGAGATGTGGGATGAAGGAGAGGAAGGGAACAAAGAGGAAATCGCACAAGTCCATAGAACATAAAGGCATCGAAGTCATATCGGTGTAATAAAAAAAGTAATAAAAAAAAGACATTTTTTGGGTTGTGATCAGTAGAAATGGATAGGGTTTAGAATTTTTTTGACTTGGGGGTCCTGAGAGTAACTTCCTAGAGATGTCATCGGCAGATAGACTATCAGGTCAATTTGGTCACCTGGGGAAGTATGAATCATTGGGAGCTATTTCACCTGTTGTTCCTTTGTCACACAACCACCTAGCCCATCCCTGATGTTTCCACACATGCTGGGGCCAAAGAAAGAAGAGGTCCGACAGACCACGGGGTTTTGCTGGCCAAAGGACCATGCTGACATAATTGAAATATGAATAAAATAGATCCTAGGAGTAGCCTAAATCTAGTGGGGACGAGTGGGGCTGCCGTAAAAGGGCAACACCTGGTGAGAGGTGTGTCTAGACAGGTGGAGGCTCTGAGCCTCTGTCCTCTACCCCGAGGGCTGGTGGTGGGAGTTCATGCAAATGCTGTCATTGTTGCCATTATGATCCTGCAAGTGTGGCCGCAAGCCTTTTTCTCAAGTCACCTGTGATCCCTTCACCCTTGTGCCCTGCCGCCCCCCCAGACAGCATTACCGTGTGATGGAGAAACTGCTTTTGGGTGAGAGGAATGGTGCAGCCCTCGGGAAGCTGTTTGGTGAACTTGTACTTGGGATGAGGGCAAAGATGGTAGTCTATTATTGTTTCTGGGTAGGTCATAGGGTGCATCACAGGAAACAATCCTGGGTTGGGATTCTAGAGAAGAAGAAGAAGATATTTACTATGAGCCCTTATTACTTGGCGTCCTTACCTCCAAGGTAAGGGGTTCAATCCCACACACTTCACCGTGGGAGAAAAATGAGGCTGTCTGCTCTTGCAAAGATTTAATCTCAGAAACCCCACGGAGCAGCGCTGCTTTGTCCCCCAAACACCAACTTTCTCTGATTCCACGTCATCTTGTCAGAAGAAGAGAAAGCGATTAGTTCTGGCAACTTCAAATAGGCGTGGTTTTAAATGTCGCAATGATCTGTAAATGCCACTTTTCTGGTTTAAGAGCATCCTGACATGCCTTGGGGACTTATTACGCTCACTCGTAAACCAATAGAACTGAAATGACACGCAAAATGGCTTATGTATTTGTTCCTGAATTTGATGGATTAGAGGAATTATTAAATAAGCAAACTCGCTCTAAAAAGCAAATGTGCTTCTGGTTTTGAAAACAAATTAGCCTCTTAAAAAATACTTTAAGGAGAAGACAAAGTAGAAGATGACATTTGATTTATCAGAAAATGTTAACATTTAACAATATTTTGGTAATGTTCTTAATTTAAGAAGCCTCCATTTGGATGTAATATCTGGTTTTTAGAGAGATTGTTTTTTCCCCTCTAATTTCCCAGCAGAACAAAGAATTACGTGAAGATACTAAAATATAGAGCTCTCTAATGTTTCTTCCAGGGCTTGAGCAACTTAAATCTATTCCTGCCTCAAACAACAACCCAAATAGCAATTTCCCAGGTACAGTTTTTAATCACAGATGTTTAAGAACCACAAAGCGAAGCTTTTGTTTTGTAATTTGCTTGCTGATGGCGATTTTTAAAAAATCATTTTATTAGGGGCTCATACAACTCTTATCACAATCCACACACACATCAATTGTGTAAAGCGCATTTGTACATTCATTGCCCTCATCATTCTCAAAACATTTCCTCTCCACTTAAGCCCCCCGCATCAGGGCCTCATTTCCCTCCACCCTTCCCTGCTCCCCTCTCCCTCATGAGCCCTTGATGGTTTATAAATTGGTATTTTGTCATATCTTGCCCTGTCCGATGTCTCCCTTCACCCACTTTTCGGTTGTCCATCCCCCAGGGAGGAGGTCACCTATAATTCCTTGGAATCGGTTCCCTCTTTCCAACCCACCCTCCCTGTTTCGCCACTCACACCACTGGTCCTGTAGGGCTCATCCGCCCTGGATTCCCTGTATTTCTAGTTCCTGTCTGTACCAGTGTACATCCTCTGGTCTAGCCAGACTTGCAAGGTCGAATTTGTGTCATGATAGTGGGAGCGGGGAGGAAACATTTAGGAACTAGAGGAAGGTTGTATTTTTCATCGTTGTTACATTACACCCTGACTGGCTCGTCTCCTCCCCGAGACCCCTCTCCTCTGCAAGGGGATCTCCAGTGGCCTACTAATGGGCTTTGGGTCTCCACTCCACACTCCCCCCATCATTCACTATGGTAAGATTTTTTTGTTCTGATGATGCCTTATACCTGATCCCTTCGACACCTCGTGGTTGCATAGGCTGGTGTGCTTCTTCCATGTGGGCTTTGTTGCTTCTGAGCTTGATGGCCGCTTGATTACCTTCAGGCCTTTAAGACCCCAGATGCTATACTTTTTGATAGCCGGGCACACCATTAAAGACAACAATAACAAATATTTCCAGATGGTCTATGGAAACCCAATCTCACTGTCAAGACATAACCTAAGGAAAATGAAGGTAGAGCAGAAGAGGCTCATAGCACAGATTCAAGGGGAGGCAGAGGCTGGATGTGGGGTTTGTGTGTTGGTTATTTAAGAACCAAAGGAAGACTGTAAGTTGTAGTGCAGACAGGCAGTTCTGCAGTTAGAGCCAAGATGGTGGAATGGGGGAAAGTGAGAAGAGGGTACTTTTAAACATAGTTTTATTGGCGTATACTTCACTTCGCACACAGCTTAATCATTCAAATTTATGCAATCATCACAATGGAATTCAGAAGTTCTTTCTCGTACTCGTAGTCAGCTTCCTATTTCCCTCACTCTCCCCATGCCATGCCCCTAGGCGATGATCAATCCATTTATTGTCTATAGATCTACTTATCCTGGATTTCCTATACAGGAAACCATACAAAAAAGCCAGCAATGGTGACTAGACTAAACACAGAAAAGTCTCAATTAAAAAAGCAGACAACATTAGCTGAAACACTTTTAAATGGGTCAAAAGAAAGATCAAATGAAAGAAATCATATTACATTTTAACTTACCTACAACTACCATCATCAACTTTACCTTGCTCTCTGACTGATAGCAACACCCTAGATTCACTAGAGACTTGATTCATGTGAGGAGCCTGAAAATGGATCTCGGGCTTTGCCATCCATAGCCTTCTGTAATCAGAGTTTAAGCTCCGATACAGGTCCCTCCTTTGGATTTTACCATTTACAGTCCTTGTATCATACAAGCTGGGTTTAGTTGATGCCTTACTTAGACGGCTGCTTGTTTTAAGACAAGCTTTTCAGACGGCACATGCTATTCTTTCTGAGAGTGAGGCACCATCTGGTTTCCTCACTACCCTTTTCTATAGCACCCAGATCTCCAGTGATCTCTTCATGGATTGCATGCATTGAGCAGGGTCACGTAGGAAACAGTTCTTGATTGAGCTCAAGGACACGAAGGAGGGAGGGAGGCACGGAAGTGATGATGTCTGCCGAGGGAATCTGTGATGCCCATATGTGATAGTCAGGTTTTGTAACAACTTGGCAGTGCCAGGATTCTCGATAGTTTGCAGTTGAAGTGTCCTCTTTGATATGATCCAACAAAATGTAATCAGCTCTATCATGGCATCTGTTGTGAGCAGCCAAGCCACTGTGGGAAGATTAGGGTGGAGTTAAAACTCTTTCTCAGGCCACAGCACTGGTGATATTGCCTCAGGGTGTGGCCTACTTCATATATAAGTAGATGTTGTGGAGAGCTTCTTTGTTTCTTGCTGGTCTGGATTCTGCATCAGACGCATCAACCCCTGCTTCTTTGGACGTGAGTCGATAGCAGCCATCTTGCCTGGCAACCCTGAGAGGCATCAGAGCTCGCCATCCTACCTGTCCACCTCAGAGTAATCAGCCTCTGTACTTGTCAGGTGTGGTCTTCCTACTTTGTCTTCCTGCTTCCAGGTTTGGCAACTCTTGCAGCGACTTGAATTAGGTAAAACCTACAGTTCACATCTGACCCACAGATTTGAACCAGACGGGACTTACCCATCTCTACAACTGTGTGAATCATTTTGTTGATATAGATTTTTCCCAAGTATATGTGAACTTTATAAGTATATATATATGTGTGTGTGTGTATATATGTATATGTATATCTATCATTGATTCTGCTTCTGTAGAAAAACCAGCCTAACACATGACAGTAATGTAGGAATAAAAACCCTAAAACATACCTCAATGAGTCTTTGAAGTTGCGGATGAGCCAAGGCACAACTATAATAAGATAGTGTAATAGGGGATAGGTCTGTCTCATTGTGCCCCATAGGGGTGGCAAAGCAGCAGAGTTGCACAACACAAGGTAAAGAGGAATTAACCATCTGATCATGAGGAACATCTTCTACACAGTTAAACCTAAATCATGTGAAACTGGCATTAACCAGTGCTCCTAATCTGCTTTGGGCCAAGTGTTATAAGTGAAAACTTTTTGAAAATGGCAGTTTCATTATATCAAATGGTTGTAATAATATCATTAGATCAGATGGTTGTCACAATTTAGAGCTCCCTGAGAGGCCATTATTACTAGAAGCAAGTGGTCTGAATAATTGCACTATGACGATTTTAATTTTGCTTTAAGCAATGCATGTATATGGTAATAACTCACCCAGGCTGGAAAAACTTGTCATGAAAAGCATTAGGCTTCCCAAACCTTCACAGAATTGAAGGGAGCAAAAGGTAATTCCACAATAATCACTGGAGACTTTAATACAACACTTTCAACAGGGGACAGATTACTGTAGTAGTTACACAAACTGATGCCAACCTAGATGGACACTCAATAGGGAAACAGAGAACTTGAACTTGAACAACACTAGGCGCTAGTTATACTCAATAGCTACGTATAGAATATTCCACCCAACCACCGCAGACTATACATTCTTCCCTAGACATTTTCTTCTCTGACCCCAAAGGAATGAAGCTTGAAATAGAAGAATGAAAACTTAAAAAAAAACCCAAAACATGTAGAAATTAAACAACACACTCTTAATGAGTTAGAGAAAAAAATTACGAAGGGCATTTGATGAAACATACAACTTTCCTCTAGTTCTTAAATGCTTCCTCCCGCACCACCCTCACTATCACGATCCCACTTCTACCTTACAAATCCGGCTAGACCAGGGCATGTACACTGGTACAGATAGCAACTGGGAACACAGGGAGTCCAGGGCGGATGATCCCTTCAGGACCAGTGGTGAGAATGGCGATACCGGGAGGGTGGACGGAGGGTGGGGTGGAACGGAGGAACCAATTACAAGGATCTACATATAACCTCCTCCCTGGGGGAAGGACAACAGAAAAGTGGGTGAAGGGAAACATCGGACAGTGTAAGACATGAAAAAAAATGATAAATTATCAAGGGTTCATGAGGCAGGGCAGTGCAGGGAGGGAGGGGGGAAAATGAGGAGCTGATACCAAAGGCTCAAGTAGAAAGCAAATGTTTTGAGAATGATGAGGGCAACAAAAGTACAAATGTGCTTGACACAATGGATGGATGGATGGATTGTGATAAGAGTTGTACGAGCCCCCAACAACATGATTTTAAAAAAAAAGAGAAAATATTTCAAGCTGAAGGAAAAGATATACAGAACATACCAAAACTTAAGGAGTTCAGGAAAAAAAAGGACTTAGAGGAAAATTTGTACAAATGAAAAATGAAGAAAGATCAGTAACTTACCCTTTTCCACGAGGACAATGAAAAAGAACGGACAAACTAACCCTCACGGAAGGAATCCACCTGCAAGCTACTAGAGCGAATGAAGGAAGCCAACTATGTGGTGGGAGGGAAAGCCAGCCTTCACCAGTCAGCAGGGTTTCTGCACAGCAGCCATGAGCAGAAGGAAATAAGAAAACAATTCCATCTACAGTAGCATCTGAAGAAATAACGTATTTCGGGCACGATTTAACTAAGGAGGTTAAAGACGTGTACACTGAACGCACCAAAACACTGTGTGTAAAGAAATAAGGGGTGGAGGGTGGGTTAAGGGGAGACCATGTCAAGGAGTCCCTATAGAAAAAGAATGTTTGGAAACTGATGGCGGTTGCAATTGTGCAACTCTCTTTTACATGATTGAACTATGGAATGATATGATATGATATATATATCACATATATAGTATATATATAGTAATGCATATATATTATATAATATATACATTACTATATATATATATATATAGTAATAAAAAAACCAACACTGATTAAAGAAATTAAAGGAAGCCTAAATAAATGGAAAGGCATTCAATGTTCATGGATTGGAAAACATCATATATTACATATAATTGGAAAAGATCATAACGTTATTGCCACAAAAAGAAATACTGGAATTGTTAAAAAAAAAAAGGCCATTGATATTGCACAAATAATATATACTGGAAAGCAACATCGAAGAGGGGTTATTGTTTAGTGCTAGAAATTCCAAAGGGAGAAAAATATTTCTAACTAATGTGGCTGTTTTCTAATAAAGTAATTGCTGAAATAAAGGAACATAAGACAAACGTCTTCTTCGCACCGTAACTTACAAAAACATACAGGCGATCATACTCTGGGGACCTGGCCAAGGCTGCCGGGGGTTTCATGTTCAAGACGGAGATCTTCCCAGAGAGCTGCTGGGCAGAGTCCTGTTTTGGAAGGGCGATGATGGTAGCGACTTCATCCTGCACCAGGACCAAGACAAGCATCAGGCTGGATGCCAGGCCAAAGGGAGAAATGAGGAGTGAGTCTTGTGAAGGTGGGGGAGAGGTACCTCAGCCCCTTGCTTCAGGGTTCGAGCAAGCTTTGCAGGTTTATAACTTGTTGAAGACTCCTGGATCGAGAAGGGTTGGTACCCCATGATTTTGTACAGTTGAGGAACCTGGGGGTGAAAGAAGAGAATTGATTGGATATCCTTAAAAGTCCGTTGCCATCTCCCAGCGTCACTATAAACACTGATGATACTTAAATGAGGTTGGGGGACTTACTTCTAAAAGATAGCATCTCTGAGCTGCCGGAGAGGAAAAGTAAATCAAATACCACATTGTAACCTCAAATTGGAGCAATTGCAAATTTTGGCAGCACCAGACAAGTCCTGAGCCCCGTTTTTAGTGTCAAACACATACAGGTTCATAATTACTCTTCCATATAGCTTAGCCAGAAATACACCAAACATCAGTTTGCCAATTTAAAATCTTTACCTTTTCAGAAATAGAAGTGTTGACACACATCAGGAAAGATTAACTAACTTTTATTGACCTTAATTTTGTATTTTTCCTCTCTAAGGTTACATACATACATAGCTCAGGTAACTTCATGGATGCATAACATATGGTACAACCAGAGTGAATATCCTGTTTTTCACAAGCCACATTAGGATAAAAGAAATACATTTCATATATGCAATAAAATTATAGCAGAAAAAATATACTAAGTATAATCCAGAACAGAGAAAAACTAATAAAAAAATGTAAAATTGAAATTTAAGAATTTTATGTTTGCTTCAGAAGAGACCCAATTAACTAATGATGTGTAACGGGCCTGACCTGCAAACTGAGGAAGGGATACGACTGCTTGATTTGAACTTCTGAAGGCTTAATTGGGACCAGTCCAAGGCCGTCAGGAGCCTAAAACATGAAGATTCAGATAAGTGACATATAATGGACACTAAGCAAAAGTGGCTAAGTTTCTATCTCTATTATGTCTGCATACATGAAACTAGCAGTTCGATATACCCAAAGAGACCCTGTCTCCAACCGTATTTGCTACCTGGCATGTTGGGGCACCACGCCAGCACAGACCATCGCCACCTCTCAGAGGTTTTCTATGCCCAGTTTCACGGAGGAGCCAGGGTGCAGCCTGAAGAACCCCAGAAGTAACATTCAACATGCCTCCGAATAGCCTAACTCCAGTGCAAAGAGGAAAGGCAGCCTGATGCCTCCAACGAAGGACACCTAGCTGTCGTGCCACCGAAAAGTGCCACGGTTATCAGTGGTTCTAAACTAACGTGAGAGTAATAGTGGGCCTCGCTTTCATACAGTGTAGCTGAGATTACACGTCAATTTACTAAAGACCAAAACAAACCAAACGCACTGCAATTGAGTGGAGGCTGGCTCGTAGCAACCCTATAGGGCAGGATAGAATTGCCCCTGTGAGTTTCCTAGCGGAGAAGCCTCCATCTTTAGGCTCAATCCTACTTCTGCTATGAGAAAACACAACTTCTGACAGGGTTCCTTTCCAACAACCCTGCTGCAAATTGGGATATAGGGTGAACAATTGCATTTAAAAAATAAAGTTTTCAAAATCATTGCCTTTTATTACCCATGTCTTTATAAATTCAATCTTAATTTAATATATCATACATAAAATATATAAATGTAAGAAATTTACTCTAATAATGAAGACTTGAATGATGTCCACATTTTGTCAGTTACAATAACTCCACTTGTGGAAGGTTCTGGATCAACTGGAAGACCCCCGAGTACGGGGATGGCATTTCCAGCCAGAACATTTTGTGAGAGTTGTCTGTATGTTTTTCCTATATTTTATAGTAACACCTCACTGCTTCCAAAATCTGCCTCCTGTCTTTCGCAAAATCATTGTGTTTGGGTCCGCATTTTAAAACAATCGACTGAAATTTTTACTGCATATTCTAAGATGCGAGAGATGAGTTTCTTTTTTGAAATTAAAAACCACACGGCTCATGCACTGAGTAGGAGCTCTGATGGTGGTGTGGTTACACGTGGGGCTGTAATCCGCAAGGTCGGCAGTTCTAAACTACCAGGCGCTCCTTGGGAGAAAGACTGAGCTTTCTACTCCTGGGGAGAGTGACTGTCTCAGAAACCCATAGGAGCACTTCTGCTCTGTCCTAGAGGGTCGGTCTGAGTCAGCGGTGATCCGATGGCAGCGAGTTACTGAGGCACTGATTTAAGTATTCTTTCACTACTAATTGTGCAAACTTGAACAACCTGTATTACTGGCCCTGTGACCTGGTGCTTCCGTTCCGTCATCTGTACAATGATAAACGTATCACATAGATTTGTCGAAGAGGAAATGAGTTGCTATAACTAAAGACACTTCCTACCACAAAGTAAATGCAATGTTAGGACTAGTTCTAATTCCTGTTATAATTCATCATTGTGCCTATAAGGGAAGAGTGGAGAGCTGCCGCACCTCTCGTGATTTCTAGAGAGAAAGGATAGCGGCGAGTGGATTTGTGAGTTCAATGGGTTAGATTTGGGGGGGCATATTCCCTAGTGACTAGTTTTGGTCCCGGCCTTGAGAGCTGACCCCATTTTTCCAGGCAGTGGAAGGAGCTCAGCTGAGCTGAATCTGTCTTCTGGGGCCAGATCCAGCCTTCTTACTTTCCCTCTTTGCCCTTGACATCTTAGGCCTACTACTTGGGCTGTTAACAGGGGCTCAGTGTTTGGGTTCTGGGCTGGGCAGGACTGAGCTCAGGACCTGGGAGCCAGTTTATCAGAGACATACAGACAGCACTAAGTGACTCCCTTTGGTCACAGTTCCTTGGGCAGGATCGCTCGGGGAAATGTCAGGAGGAAGCAAGGGGCTGACATTAGGTTAGGGGCTGTTTTGGTAGTTGTACCGATCCATCCGATCACACCCGGCGCCAGCCCCACGGTCGGTCGTATCACACCCACCAACTCACTGGAGTCTTGAGGAGGATTGTAGGTTGGGAAAGTGAAGGGAAGCACATTGTTGGGCGGCACAGAGAAACGGGCAGAATAATCATTTTGACTGATCCCAGGCAGAAAGAGGTATTTGGAGGGATGCTCTTCTACGGGCAAAAAACAAACAAACAAACAAAACACATGACTTTTAGGGCGCTCTTAAAGTGCTTTCTGTAAAGCCACCATCTTTCGTTGTATCTTTGCCACATATCAACTGGTTGGCAGCATGTCCCGATGAAAAGAGTGTTCTTTTCACACGTGACTTTGCAGGTCAGTTCAAAAGGCAGTGACGAGGGATCCAGTGCCTAGCACCAAGGGCCCTGCTTAGACATGCACGTCTTTGCAATCAGTGAGTGGCTGCATCCAAGTTCTTGTGTGTGTTGGTGGGGTTATTTAAAGAATATTTTTGTGTGTGTGCCATGGACCAAACTGATTTTGAGGTCAACTATAATAAATTTAAATAACATCTGAGTGGACATCTTTTAAATCATTAAAGGCCTGCAACACATTTACACCAATGTTGCTCCACATGGAACAATAGCTTTTGGATGGTTCAAGTATTTTAAGGACGGTCAGGACACTGCAAGGTGGACTTCAAATCAGAGAGGTCAGTCAGCTCAGATGGTTATGATAATGATTATGATAACGGTATTCCAAAGGAGTAATCTGGATAAATCTTTTTTTTCACAGATACAGAACAATCACAATGGTTTATTATATGAAGAAGTTTTAAGAAGATTAAAAGTTGTATTGGTGAGCAAAAGGCTAGCAACGATGCCTCTAGGAATGTTTTTCCATCTTCAAAATACCTGCCCATTCTTCAAGGGTGGCAAGGGCTGGCTTATGCAAAGGTTGTTGGGAAACCTTACCCCATCCACCCCACAGACCTGATTTTGTCCTTTTAGACTTATTTATGTTATCAGACTCAAGAAATAGTTAAAAGAGACACAGTTTGAGTCCCTAGAGGATGGCAAAACTGCAGTTTTGATAAAAGATGAAAGAATACAGAGTTGTTTTTTTGGGGGGTGGGGTGGTTAGAGAGAGAATGGAAACTCTGCCTTCAGAAATGTGTAGGTCTATGTGGAGAATACGTAGAGGAACAACAACTTTCTACTTTGATATTTTTGTTTAGTAAGGCTATCATGATTCTGTAGGAATGCTTTTTTTTACTTACCTATGTATGTATATCTATATATAGATTCATTTTCAGTTCCTTTTTCATTCCTTATTTCAATTCCTTTTCCACTTTTAAAACATGTTTATTTCCCCGAACTAGAATTTCTAATTAAAATACCTATGATGAACAGTCTTTGTTCAGAGAGAGAGGGAAAGAGAAAGAGAGTTGGTGCCTGGCAGGTTGGGGAAAGTTGGAGCTGCGATCGGAGGGCAAGCTGCGGGGAAGAGAAGGTCTGGGGGGCTCAGGGCCTGCCTGTCAACTAGCACGGATCCACGGATGGCAAAGACAGGTATTGGGGTAACTTTTGGATGCTCAGAAGCTACTGAGAACAGACCTCTAACAGCCGTGGCTAACCTTGGGATCAAAGGGATGAACATTCTCTAATTAGCCAAGACTCGTGTCCCACAACATGAGATAGAAGGCTTTCTGTGCAGAAGTTAGATGGAGACAACATCAGATTCAACAAGACAATCAGCAAGTAGAAATGCCTACGATCCTAATCTCCGGTCTTAGTTGGTTTTCTCACAAGACAGGAGTTCGAGACCACAGTCAAACCTGACAGGTGTGGTATCAGAGAAACTCGTTTGCTGTCAGCTGGGGACGTGGTTTGGGACAACGTGGCCTAGAGGTCTGTGTTGTGTGGTGTGGTCAGTTGAATCAGAGCCCTCACCCCCTGCCCTCAAGGTGTCCACATACGATTCTCCAGAGCCCGTGAGTATGTTACCTTCCGTGGTAAAGGGTTTTGCAGATGTGAATGGATTAAGGATTTTGGATTGGAAGGGTTATCCTGGATTCTCTGGGTGGGTTCAATGCGCTCACAACCGGCTTCAGAAGAGGGAGGTCAGAGGTCAGAATCTGAGAAGGAAATGTGATGACAGAAGCTAGAGGTTAGAACAGCGGTTCTCAACGTGTGGGTCGCGACCCCTTTGGGGGTTGAATGACCCTTTCACTGGGGTCACCCAATTCATAACTGTAGCAAAATGACAGTGATGAATAGCAACGAAAATAATTGTATGGTTGGGGGGTCATCACAGCAAGAGGAACTGTATGAAAGGGTCACGGCATTAGGAAGGTTGAGAACCTCTGGGTTAGAGTGATGTGAGGAAGACGTCATTGGCCAACTTCTAGAAACAGCAACTTCTAGAAGCATTGCTTCCCCAAATGGGTAATTCCGTCCCCTGAGGGGTGGGAGAATAAACTGGGGGTGGGGGAGGAGGGGAACAGAGGCTGCAAAAGCAAATGCTTACACTTTATCCTGGACTGTGGATTATAGTACATACGTTTTTAATTGCCAGGGGGCACTGAGCAATTTTTTTTCCTGAAAAAAAAAAATTGGAAACCAATGTTCAAGAACAGGGTCAGCAAACTTTTGACATGGAAGAGCCAATCCTGTTCCTCACAGCAATTTAAAAATTATTTGAGTCATAAATATATTTTGACAAGAAAGTGAAATCAGCATTGTCTGACTAATAGTCTTTAAATATTTTCAATTTTACTTCAGAACGCATGTCCATCCCCAAAGAGCCACATATGGCTCTCGATGCAGTTTGCTGACACCAGTTCTAGAAGATCAAAAAAACAAAACCAATGAATCTTCCCGGAAGCCTCCAGAGAACATAGCCCTGCAGACCCCTTGATGTTAGACTCCGGACCGCCAGACCGAATATGTAGCAATTTATTACAACAGAAACAGGAAATGAACACACCTGAGTTTTGAAAATATCTTGTTTCTATCCAGCGACCTTCATAAGAAAGAAACTCCATGCTCACAGAAAGGATCAGTATAAACACCATTGCACTTTGCAGGTACACCTTACCTAACAGCGTGCTTTTTCCTTGATGAAATCTTGCAATTATAGCCGCTCTGTCAATTTCACGGACAACAGTCAGCATATTGACTAATCGTCGTTGAATCATGACCTGGAAGTGGCGTGAATAAAGATGTTAAATTATTAAACTGTACAGCTCATTTAGGTGTTGAATTTAATTCATTTTCCTCTCCCCACCGCAGAAGGCTGAGACCCTCTCAGTCAGAGTGCACAGGAAAAGGGGCACAATACGCTAGACCGGCGGTTCTCAACCTGTGGGTCGCGACCCCTTTGGGGTCAAACGACCCTTTCACGGGGGTCACCCGATTCCTAACAGTAGCAACATTACAGTTATGAAAATAGTTTTATGGGTGGGGGGGGGCACCACCACATGAGGAACTGTACTAAGGATCGTCGCATTAGGAAGGTCGAGAACCACCCTCCTAGACTGTGGTTAATGGAACTTCAAGGTCTGGGTGGTGCTGACTTGCTTGAGAACAAAAAGATCAGGCTTGCATCTATCCCTTTTCCACTCAACTTAGGAGGCCTACTTTTCAGTTATTTCCAAAGTGGAAAGAATGACCATTTGCATATTATTTCTTTTTTTTTTGCATATTATTTCTTTTGGACATCTCTGAGTGAGTGGTAATGCTGCCGCCATGTTCTTTCTGGGGTTGAAGGACAAACGAACGATGGAAACAACCTTTCTGACTCATAGCAAACCCACAGCCCCACAGGACAGAGGGGCCCCATAGGGTTTCTGATGCTGAGACTAAGATGGGCTAGGAATAAGGCCAATGAAAACCCTGTGGACCACAACTCATTATAGGGCTGGCACCGTGTTTCATTCTGTTGTGCATGGGTTGCCATGAGTCAGAGGTCGACTTAATAGCAGGCGACTGCACCAACTTTGGGCCCAAGTTTGGTCAAGGTCAAGTAAACAAAAGTCCTGCTGCATGTAGTTGACACTCTTAGTTGACATGGAGGAGGTGGAGGACAATAAACACTTAAACAATCAAGATTCGAACCATGACAGAGAAGTCTGCCAGTTTGTCACATGCTGGTGGCTTGTGTGCTGGCTGTGGTGCGGTGATGCCAGCAGGGTCACCCCACAGGGACACGTTTCAGCAGAGTTTCCCAGTGAAGAACAGACTAAGAGGAAGGACTCGGCTGCTCACTTAGAAGAAAGCAGACACTGAAACTTTGGGCATACCTTCAAAACCCTGTCAGATACCAAAGGCCCACTGAATGGAGAGTGAGCAGTGTCAGAGATGGTGCTGGAGGATGGGCACGTCGAGTCAGAAAGCACTCAGGGTGAGACCAAGAAGAAGGTGCTTTCTCAAAGTAGCGTGGACCATGATGACATAAATGGGGTAAAGCCTTCTGGATCTTCATTTGCAGATAAGGCACAACTCAAGGGGAGAAGAAAGAGATACAAGAACCTATCTAATAATCAGAACTGGCAATGTAGGAAGTATGAAGCTAGGAAAATTGGAAGTCTTCAAAAATGAAACGGGATGCGTAAGGATCGGTGTCATGGACATTAGGGAGCTAAAATGGACTGGTGTTGGCCATTCTGAGTCAGAAAATCAGATAGCTTACCATGCCATGAGGGACACAATCAAGAGGAAGGGTGTTGCATTCACAGTCAAAAAGGACATTTCAAGGTTTCCAAAGTATTTTTAAGGACAACACAGTCTGTGATAGGATTATATCTACTCAAATTCAAGGAAATCTAATCAACACAACCACTACTTAAATTTATGAACCACGCACTAAAGCTAGTGATGAAGAAGTCTACCAGTGACTTCAATTGGAAATGGATCAAACATGCAATCAAAATGCATCGATAATTATTGGCAATTGGAATGCAAAATCTGGAAACAAAGAAGAAAGAACAGAAGTTGGAATACTTGGTCTGGTGTGGGGAGCAGAAGGATTTCTCTTAAGTTGTCTCCCCAAAATATATGCCAGACTTAGCTTGAGAATGACTGTTCTTTAGGCAGTGAAAATAGTCAGAGGTTATTCTCCTTAACATCAGCCATCTAGAGCGGCCAGACTGTATAGTCTGACTCACCCCAAATAGGGCCCATTCCTTTCTGTTATTGTTCCCTTGAAGCAGTGCCCAAAGGCAAGCCCGGGACCACTCTAAGATGACCAGGTCATCCTCCTCCTGTTGCTTGTATTGCTTATGTTGCAATCCCTCCCTATGACGCAGGTTGTTGTGAATTGTATTGCCCCTCTCTGTGATGCATGATGCTGTGATGTATCCCCTTAAAGTGTTATTGTTCCCTTGAAGCAGTGCCCAAAGGCAAGCCCGGGACCACTCTAAGATGACTAGGTCATCCCCCTCCTATTGCTTGTATTGCTTATGTTGCAATCCCTCCCTATGACGCAGGTTGTTGTGAATTGTATTGCCCCTCTCTGTGATGCATGATGCTGTGATATAGC